CTCATTTTATTCAAAGTTGATGGGCATGTTGCTTCGGCCCTGTATGTTTTGTCAGGCATTTAGATCATTTGCTCTTCACTTATGTGCTCTCGGGTTGTGTTTTCTTTGGTCAACTGGCTACTGTTAACTTATTCCAAACAGGAGTCTGCTTATTACCCTTATCAGCTGCCCCTGGAGGAGGCTCTAATATGCTGTTAATCAAGTTGAAGAAGTCTTTACTGTGACCTATCCGATATCTTGCCCATTTGGGTGTTTTCTTTTTTCTACACACATCTCAGTCGGGCCCGCCCTTCGACTTCAGTCGATGGGTTTTCAGTTCCATTACAGCTTGCGACATTCTATCACATTTGGGAATGTGATCTTTCATGGTAGCCCTTATCCCCTTAGGCCAGGATCATGTGTGGGTTCTTTTGTGGGCTTTTCACAACCAGTGGAATTTCGCATGGATCCTTTGTCAGCTCTTATTACCCTTCCTCTTACCCTTGTAGTCAATCGGTATTAGTAGTTAGATATTACTCGCATGTCGGTGGGTGTCCCACTTCCTCCTCTTCATCTGGTTTTACACATTTTATTAGTAGTCATTGTTTGGGTCCTGTCTGTGGCAAGTGGTGCTTGATTAGGTATTCTTTAACTGTTCCAATCCGCACTGTCAAGCCATGTCGACTTGCGTATTATAATTCGATGGCCATGCAATGCACACTGCAGAGATGGTGTGTTCCACAAGATTGCTTATAGGTTTATCCTTGCGATAGAATTGCTTCAAAATCCCTATATTGAATGCACCAAATGTAATTCTAGGTAACAGCATGGAGACAAAATAGGGGTTTGTAGTTTGAGTAAATAATGTCTACAATATCTCCAGCCTTGTTTCTTTACTTATTTTTTATGATACCTATTTGCAGGTTTTTAAATTCCCAATTTTCATTTATCTTGTCATAAGATAATTGTAGTATGCTTCATTCAAAATGCTGTGAAATGAAGAATAATGGATTAATTTCTTCCATCTGTAGATATTAGAAGAGTATTTGAAAGCACCAAAATTTTTTTATAAACAATATTTTCCTTCCAGTGTCATCTATCGATAGTAGAAGAAGCTTAACTGGTTTCACAATACTTCTTTTGTAAACAAGTTTTCTCACCACCTTTAAAAGACAAAAATAACATTTTTACTAGCAGTCTTTTATTTTCTAATGGTAGTTATACAAGATATTATTATTTGTGTTATACATTTTTGATATTTGTACTCTTTAAAAATGTATTATAATTTTGAGTAACAGTACTTTCACAGAAAAACACAGTATTCCTGATAAGGTTTTTCTAGTAATAGAACTTTTTTCTGTAAACTGCTCCTTCCTTCTAAGCTAATCCTGGTAAGTTTTTGATGTTAATAGACTGATCTTTTCAATTTTAGCTATTTATCAGAAAAGGAAATTTCAGAAAAAAAATCTCAAGTGTAATCAGTCAAACATGAAACTTAGTGTTTATGTTTACCAGCAGTCTCCAAGTATGTTTTTTAACTTCTTTTTTTTTTTTTTTCTCAAGTAAAGACAATTTTCTGCCAAATTATACAGATGCAGTGTAGATGCTGATTATATAGATTGTAGCTGTTGTACCTAGTAGTTAATAAAAGCTATTACTGTTAGTACTAGGTTATATTAGCCTAGATTCAAGGTAAAAAAACAGCTTTATGCCTACGACACAATTAGTTTTAGTATCGAAAAAATATATATATCAAACAAGAAAACAAAAAATGTAAATTATTCACATGGTCAGTAGCTAGAGCTACTGCTAAAAACATTTCAATACCACACATTCCGACTATCCTCACATAAAACTAAAAGCATGATATTGTAATAATGAAGCTAAGAGATAATCCATAATTCTAGAAGAAAGGATACAATAAGTCCGAAGTCAATAAGTGTCTGGAAAGATATTTATAAATAATATTACATGTGATCCTTTGGTGAGAAAATACTGCTGTACTAAAATTGTTTTTACAGAATGCTGCTATATAAGCTAAAAACAAAATAATTTGCAGACTTATTTATTACTTGCTGGGGAATGGTTGTTTAGTATAAAAAGTCAACATTTTTTGTAGGTGTTACAGAGTTTTTGTGTATTGGTCAGTTGCATTGTAGTTAATTGAATACATTATAAATTTAATATTAAAAAATATATATATATATATATATGTGTGTGTGTATGTTTAAAAGTAAATGGAAATGTGTAAAAAAAATTTTTATCTATTATTTAATGAAGTAGTATGTAAAACATTATTTTTCACTTTACTTATAAACACAAAAAATATTTTGAGTATTTTTGTGGTATGAAAAGATTGACTCTTCATTTAATTCATCAGGATTAATAAAGAGGATGAAGTGAATAAAATCTCAATGTACCCTTATGTCATTATATTTCAGAGCTATCAGAAGAAGTTTATTCTCCACGAACACCTAAAACTCCAAATGATGGGGAGAAAGGTCAGTCACGAAGAATTCTAGACCAGCGGCGACAATTGGTTCTACAGTTATTTCAAAAAGAAAGTGCCTATCCTACTGGTAAGGATTTTAATCTAGCATTATTAAATAGTGAAGTATTATGTTAAATATTAGTACAGCCTCCATAGTTATCATATAATAAACATGTAAACATAAATCATATGTATACTGTGAAATTTTACTTTTGTTGGAGATACTTGAGATTTTAAGGGATACCATTTTATGGATTTAAAGTTTAATGCTGGCACTCAAGATTTTAAATATTTACATGCAATCAAGCTTTTAAAGCATTAGTTATATAAGCTCAGCAGTTTTTTCGTGTTAAAAGACATGGTGTTTAATGCATTCACATACAGAATTTCAAGCTCTTTTGAACCATTCAGGAGATATTTAACAAAAAAAAACTTTCAAGTGTAAATTGTATACTGCTTGTACTTCAGTGCACTTAGATATCAGATGTTGCCAGTGTGCAAGTGAAAACTTCTAACCATTTTCAAAATTAATTGATAAAATAAATTGTATACCCGAAGCTTGAAACTTGTCAGAAAAAATTACAAAAAATAGATTTTGCCACTAAGTATAAATAATTAATTAAAATAAAATAACACTTATTGTCACCAATAAAAAAATCTGGGTCTAATAGTATTTTCAGATAATGCCAAACTCAGTTACTATACCAGTACATCCTTTTGACCAGTCAGTTTAATATTCTTTGAAACCATTATGTAATACTTGGAGATCGTGAAAATGAAGTGGCACATCAGTTCCGATAGAAGCAGTGTAGTTATGTAGAGATTGGGTAATAATATTACTTTAACCCTTTCACTAAAGAGTACATTTCATGACCTTTTAGAGAATTATTTTCAAAGGGGGCAACTACCCAGGGACCCGGGTGAATGAAACCTGGTTATGCCGTAAAGCCCGCAAAGCATTTTTAGGCTATATCTTCATTTAATGATAAAAACCATAGTTTTTGGCTTTTCTTTGCATATAGACGCTTGATACATTAAAAACGACTGAAATAATAATTTGAGTAATAATTAATATGTACTTGTTACTTTATAGATTAATAAATATTTGTTAAAACTTTATTAAAGTTTTTATGCTTATACTGTGAGGTAAAAATGGCTGCTGCTATGATTTTGTCTGGTTTATGAGCTCGTTGCTGTCCTAATTTAGGATCTTCTTTTTAATAAATTCTTGAAAATGTTAAAAAAGAGAGAGAGAAAGGGGGGCCCGGCGAGGATGTTTGCCCCGGGGACCGTGCTGGCTCTCGGCGTTCCTGCCAAAATGTCATTATCAATAAAATCCATATCATCATTTTCATCATGTACAACTTCTTTATTGATATTCACAATATTCTCATTGTAATTTTGCCATGACAATTTTCTTCTATCATTTGTTGCATTATTATCACGACCACATAGAGAGCATGCTAAGCATTTTTAACATCTAGGCCTTTTATATTTGTAAGATAAAGGTTCCATTTTGAACTGGAATTGCATTTTTTTTTACAATCATTGAAGTAGTCAACACGAATTTTGATTCATCGGCTTGGAGCAACTAGTGGTCCATGGAAGCTAAAAATAGGCTACACCATTGTCATTTTGGCTAACAATATTGCTAAAAAAAAATTCGACAATGGGTCATTTTTTACTGACTAACATGAGCTCACCTAATTTGCAGTTATGGACAGTGTTAAAATATATAATATGTATGGTTATATAGTTCTATATATTACTTTGGCTGAGTTCCAATTGATTTTATAATAGAGATTCCTAATTTGTAGAAAAAGAACATTAATTATTTCTTCATTTTCAACATCTTTTTTTTACTAATCAAATACCAGTGTACCTGTTCACTAATTTTTCATGTTATCTAAATCATGAGTTCACGTGCTGTCGTTATACCCAATGATATCAAGTCAACCTGGTGAAACATTGTAACCATACATATTATACTCTGTGTATCTAAAATAAATAGATTTTAAGTTTTACTTAACTGCATTTCTTGGCAAAGTGTTTTTTTCAGTTTCATTAGCAAGCATTTTATCATATCATCATAGATAATTTTTTTCTAGAAATCATTTGGCAGTTATGACGGAAATAATGCCTTGATTTCTAGAATTATGTTTAACTTAATTCTCAAAGCTCAGTAAGTATGCTATTATAATTTTATACATGTTCTGATTTTGAGGATTTTCAAGCATGACCAAATCTGAAGAGATTAGTTACTGCTTCTAGTATTACTAATCCATAACTCACTAATGAATGGGGGAAAAAAATTATATTTATTCTCCCTTTAGAATAAGTGATTAAAACCAAGCAACTAAAATGTTTTAGAAATTCTTTCCTAAAATATTCAGTTCTCTAACCACAATATGAAAAGCAGTGTTAAATTATCAGATAAATAAATAAGACTATGCTTGTAAATAATGATAATATTTGAAAAACAACAAAATTGGTTACTCATTTTAAGTTTTTTGTAACCTTTTTTGATGTAGCTCAAGCCACAGCAGCTTTTCAACAGCAACATCGTGACATTTTTCCTACAAAGTATAAACTACAGCTGAAAATACGTGAAGTTCGTCAAAAACTGATGGCACATACAAGTGTCAATGCTGCCAATCCCCAAACTCCAACCTCATCAAGTGATTTCACATCAGGGAACCAAGTTGAATTAGAATGTTCTACTTCAGCTCCAAGTACTCCAGCAACTCCACAGACATTGATGCCACCACCAGCAGTGTCCAGAGTAACCTCCACCCCTCCTGTATCTTCAGATTTACCAGTACAGTCAATATCTATTGAAAAATGACTATCTCATTTTCACGAGTGTTTTATGATATTCGGTAATTAGAAACTTTTTCACACCATCTTGGCAATGATATAACTTATTATTGGACTAAGTGGTATTTTGTTACCACACATTTTGTAGTTTAGACATTCTTGTAAAAATATTAAACACATAAAAGCATCAGTTGACTGTACCATTTGTTGTTATCACTATGTACAGTTAGGACACTTCTTTATGTATTATATCACTGTGTTCAATATTTGAATATTGATTGTTATAGTGATAAGCTGCATGTTATGTAGTTTTTTTTCTCTTAAGCAACTTTAGGCATTTTTTCCTAACCTGAAGTTGGCCAGAGGAGATCAAGACATGTTTGATTTAAATTTTGTTTTTTGTATTAATTGTCTGGTTATGTAACCAGATTGTTCAATAGATTTTGATGTACTTTCAAGACATGATATGATTTTAATGTAACTTAAGAACCAAAGCTTTGTCTCTATCTGCATGATTCTTATTCCATAAATTTTTCTGCACCAGTTCCTCTTCACTGATTTTTTGTTTTATCTCTTGTCATTTGTTAGGTTCGAGGTGAATTTGTTTTAAATAGATGTAAAGATTGGTGTTTTCTTTTTTAGAGTAAAACCATAAGAACCATTACTGGGTATAAAGGGTTAGTTCTTTTCAACTATAATAACATTATAAATGTATTAAAATCTATTCCATGTATTTTTCCTCATTTCTAGGAAATGTTATGTCATTGACAGTCCCATTTCTATTTTTGAAGAGAACGTCTTTCTTTTTGCTGGAAACATAATAATGTTTATTTCCACAGGAGAAAGCACATTGATAGCTGCACCGTTAACAGTCAAGTTTTACCTAATGTGACAAATTTGCATTTCTAGTCTAAATTATGATACAAAAGTTTCTTTCCAAGTAAAGTAACTTTATCACTAAAGAGCTGGGTTTATTTTTCTAAGAACTTTTTTTTTCCATAAAAAAAGTTTGTACTTGGTTGTTCACAGTCTAGTGAGATACTTATGTCTCTAACTTCATATAATCAAGTTCAATTTCTAAGAAGTAAAGGTTTTCTTTCTCTTGTAAAATCACTAATTGTCATGTATTACTTTAGAATTCCTTTTTTCTTCTACCACAAAAGACAAGTTTGTAGTTATGATACATAGACAATTGATCTCGTAAGATTTGTCTATTTAAGATCTGTCTATACTTTGTTTTTCTGAACGAGAACTTTTTTTCAACTTAGTAACTTTACGTAACTTATATTTTTGAAATTCACATCTTAAATTTTGGGGAAAATGAAATAGAAAGTTGATTAGCAAGTATATAATGTTATGTTAAATTTCTATTCTTTTCAACGATTTTATAAAATTATTTTGCTATCAACGTGCATTAGTGCACACTATTTACATAGGGTTAGACTTTGTTTTAAGAAGATCATAACTGAACATTTACTGTTTGGAGTATGTAAAAAAATCTTGTTTCTTTGTTGGCATTTCAACTGTACATTTTTCAGTTTGCTTACATGCTTCCAATAATGTCACAAGAAGTTTAAGTGTTTTTAGTAGGACACTTTTTAGCTAAAAACATATAGAAAAAGTAAACTCCCAAGCATCAGTATTTGTAATTCATAAGGCTGTTATTACTTTCTCTTTTCTTAAAGAATTGAGTATTGAAAAGTTAAACTTAGATATTCCTATAATTTTTTTAACTAAAAACTTTTAATATGATGTTCAGTAATTGTTTAAGTGCTAAACACGAGAACAAAATTGGATACATTCACTACCTCTTCAATGAAAACATTTTCAAATGACTTTTGCCAGCAGTGTTTCTGGCTTTTAATAACTTGTATTATCTACACTTGTAATTTATAAAAATAAATATTTTATTTTGCTTTTCTGATTTTACTTTTTCTTCTATAAAAGATTAAATACTCTTTTTATGATTTTTATAGATACTTTTTGTACTATAAATCACTATGAAATAAAGATGAGTGAATTAATAGAAATCTTTTGAAACTTATGAGTGAGCTTGTTGCATTAGTAATAAATATATATTTTATTTTCTGTCAAAGAAAATGGAGTATAGTATACATTAATCCTTTAAAACTAGTGTATCTTACTTATAGTAAAATATATCAAATACCTACTTGTGTATCATTTTCAAGGGTTATAAAAAAGTTGACACTTGCCATGTTAAGGCTTAGAATCATTGAAACCTTTAACTGTAAATTAAAGATTTTATAGAAACAGAGAAGTTAGTAGAGTGAGGGTGAAGGTGTGGTTTCCAGATAATCATTTAAAATTTAGCCTTTAATAGTATTTACATAATTCCCAAATGTTTCATATTATATAGATAAAGGGTAACCTTAATTTTTTGGCTTTAATATGTAAATTCATTAAAACTATGTTGTTAGGAAATTCTTTTGTTGTTTTTCCTCATGCCTTTTTTAAAATATTATTCCACTTGATCTGTGTACCTTAATATTTTGGAGTGTTTCTGATTTAACATAGAATACTGGTAAGAAGTCAGTTGGTGCAAATAGAATGATTGCAATCATCATTTCAAGCCCAAATCTAGCCATCCTGTGTTACTATGGTAAAACATAATTTTTAAGATACATTTTATTGCTTTTTTCTTTATTTAACTTTGTGTGCATCAGTATTTATAATAAAGGCATTCTGATATATATGTATGATATACTTCTCACTATGAACAAGTGATATAAATTCTAAACTTTCTTAATCTTTCCAAAAGCATTAAGGTCTTGTAAGAATAGGTAAGTGGCTAATCAGATTATTAAAATATTAATGGTATTTAATTACATGTCTCACACTTGAGCTTGTTCTATTTAGTGACAGAGGAAGAGTTATCCTAAATGATTAAGACCATTAGTAATTAGAAATGTTACTTGTTCATTGGATATCAGTATTTTCATAAGTAGCTGACACCATGATAAATACAAAATGTTTTTCATCATATGTGTAGGTTCCAATTTTTCTGTTTTGTTTTCCCTAATTTTCCACATAAAAAATTACTTTGTTTAGAACATTATTACAATTTTACAAGTATTCCAGGATCATGCCAATATAGCATAAAAGAGAAAGAGATTTAGCTTTATATTTAATTTTGTAAGCTTTTTATTGATATAATTATCTTTTTTTTTTGTCATTTTTCATGTTTGTGTAATAGGTAGATATATTATTTTAAACACTGGGATTTTATGGTTGTGGAATGTACAGTTCAATTTTGTATGGCTTGATGTTTTGGATTTGTATTTTTGATATTTAAACCATAATTTTCCTTGTTGTTTGAAAATACAGAAGTTATTTAGCTTCCAGGAGTGTTATGCATGGCTGATATAATTTCTTACTTTCTTGTATTCAGCTTTTTTTTTTAAAGTCAACTGTGATCATGTTTATTTTGTGATTAATAACAGACAATACTGTCTGTGTGTCACCACCATAAGTTAATACGCAAATACACAATCATTTTGTACATTTTAGTCAATCATACATATTAATATCTGTTTATTTGTTCTTCGTAAATATTAGATGCCAAAATGTAAAAAAAAAAAAAAAATTCTACAATAGAAATCTTGCATGAGTTAAAACTGATGTCAAATTTTGTTCAGAGCTGGTGTGAGAAGCTTGGAGTAAATAGAAATTATGCCAATGGTTTTTAAACACTTAAAAATATTTGAGAACATAAAACAATACTTATATTTGTTCATCTTGTTGGGAAGCAGAATTTTAAAGTAGTGGTAGTAATAAGAATTTTTAATGTTCATAAGTCTCCTTGTTGTATATAATTGTTAGGAATGACAATTCAGAAAACTGACTGTTGCATACATTATTATTGTTTTTACATGCCAGTCGCTTAAATAAGAGGAGCCATACCACATGTCATAGTTAGATGAACTATTTGTATAGCTGTAGGGTTTTATAACTTTGGGCTACATTGTGTGTTTTATTATCAGTAGTGTATACAGAACATGTTTTATCATTGTGGATTGTTACTGTTATTATGTGTTTGTGATGAATATACAGATATATATACACTTTAGCACAGTGTTTAAACTGTATGTCTCCAACATGTGATTTTCATGAAGGATATTGTAAACTATAGTGATTAGTAAAGCACTGTAAATAATGTACATTTTATCTGTTGTTACACATGTATATTTCATATTGTGTACCTTTGAATTAAACCATTTGTATATTAAACACATTGTATACCACATTTGTTTTGAGTCATTGTATTTTATTTTACAGTTTTGTTTTATTTCTTTAGCATTTCGAATAATCACAATTATAGCAAATGACCATCAGTGAGGTTTAATTTAGTATTTGAAACAAAATGGTTGAGAAGCTTTTAATACCCTTACAATTTTGGTTATTACCATAAGTTCACCTTTCATTTTTATAGTGTAGATAATTAGTAATTAACACGAAGATCAATTAATCAATATAAGCACATCTTTCAAAGAATCAAGAAAAATTGTTTTTTTCATCATCTTTATTGGAAGTAAAAATTTTGTACATACTATCATTGGTAGTTGAAGCTCAGAATAACATAAAATTATGTTTAAAGAAAGTGACTGTTAGATATGGAATGGTATATAGAATATTTTAAGTTACTAATTACTGAGATTAAAATTTATTATCTTTACACTTTTGTGCTGAAGAAATCAAGGGCAAAATAATAAATATGATTATTAAAAATTGTCTAAGTATGCATAATAATGAACCAGAGAATTATATAGCTACTGAAATACAAAGGGTTGAGTATGCTATATTAAAATTTTGAATATGCAAATACACATCGTATCACAATCAATATAACGTGAGGGTGTATTCATAAAAATATATTGATTAAAAGTAAAAAAAAAGTTATTATCTAAACAAACCACAAGTTAGGCCTCACTTGGAATACTGTGTATAGTTTTGGTTTCACTGTCTAAGAAATGATACTGACTTATTGGAATGGAAGATTATCTGAAGGAATGATAGGATTTAGGCCTCTATTATCTGAATACAATAACAAGAGCACACTTTTCCAACTCATAAAATGATCTAAGTCCTTTTTTCAAGCAGCAACATCCTCCTCACAGCCAGCAACACCCAATACCTTAATTTCACTAGCACACTTACACAATTTAATTACCATTCCTTAATCTGTGTCACTGATATAATCAAAAAGAGCAATGGTCCAAATGCTGAGCCTTAAAGTGCCCCATTTGTGACATTAAACTTTTATTGACTGACCCAAGAAGGAAGTAAAACTTTTTCACATTACTTTCAGAGAAGGTATCTTACTAACTCAGGATACTTTTTTCATTCTCAAACAAAATTTCATTTTTTTCCTTTCAAAGTTACGCAGATGTTTCCATTGTATTTCAAATTTGAAATACTGCAACAAAATAATGAGCCTTTATAATATATATATATATATTTATATCGAGGGCATGAAATAATCCCTTATGAATGTTTTTTCACTAGAAAGCATAGCTTACAAATATTGTACTTGGATAACCCTTAATATTTAATTTTATATGATATGGTGAGCAATACAAAAATTACAACTTTCTAAGCAACTAATAAATTATCATTAAGTCAACTAAATCTGACCAAAACTGATGTTCAAGTTTTTTAACCTTTCTACATTGAAATGCATGTGATAATCCAGTTTGTCTGAACTCCATTTATAACAACTGTCTGCTTTCTTCCATCTAGCCATTTTTTGATGCAATGAGCCAACTTATACCCCCACACATCTTTTGTGTTGCACCTTGTCAAATGCTTTCTTAAAATCCAGATACACCAAATCCACATCCTTACCTTCATCTATATGTGCAGTAACGTCTTTGAAGATTAGTAAGACAAGATTTTCACCTTGTGAAACCAAGTTGACTATCCATCAAAATTTTAAACTTTGTTAATATGACTACAAAGCATCTTTTACCAGACATTCATAAACTTTTCCTGCCACTGATATAAAACAAATAGGCCTATATATACACCTGGAAAAAAGTTAAGCACCCCCAAATATTTTTCAGGATTGCTTATTGAAAATAAG